GGGGGGGGGGGGGGGGGGGGGGGGGGGGGGGGGGGGGGGGGGGGGGGGGGGGGGGGGGGGGGGGGGGCGGGGGAAGAAAAAACGACCATCGAACAGGGGTGAAGGTGGGTGGGCGACCGGTTGGGCATTGCCGATGAGGACGGCACCGACAACAAACGGGTCATAGAGCCTTAGCAAGGGCAGGGTATGTTAGCCGGGAGGTGGACGTACGCGTCGCCTTGATACACACAACAAGAAAGTAGAAGGAGCATCGTTGGATGCCGTTGTCGGTTGCTCGTTGCCATGGCCGCTCCTTGCCAAGAGTAGCACGTCCCCTTCCCACTCGATGACAGATGACAGAAGAATGGCACCGGTGCGCCGGCACGATACAACACCCGAAATAGCGGAGAGGCACGCAACAGACCCAGCAGAGGCCTATAACAAAAAAAAAAAGAAGCAAAACCGCGATATGCTCCAACTTAAACGAAACACCACAAAAAAGGCAAGCGTACCATCTATCAACGCGTAGTCATGAATGGATGTAGGGGAAAAGGTTTTACGAAAGTACCCGTACAATCGAAGGAAGACTACCCGTTCGAGACAATGCCGCACCAGCAGTCGAAGGCGGTGTTTTCAAATCTATGCAGTGAGTGAGGGGGGAAATACACGGAGAAAGCCTTAGCGTTTGTTCACCTGTCCTCCCACCAGTTCGTGCGGCCGCTTCGCGCTGTCGACACCGAGGCCGGGGGAGAGGACACCGATGACACAAACTCACCCTGCGCCTTTCCGCCGCAATTTTTATCAAGATCACGAAAGAAGACGAAAGAGTCGTTCGTTGTGGTGGCGTCGGTGACATGAATCAGACGAGGAAAGCCAAGCAACAAAAAATAACTGACAAGGTTTGTGAAAGAAACCTGCAGTCAGAAAGCGCGGAATCGCAAATGAAGCGAGAAAAGCAAGGGCGATGACGTGCGAAGAGGGTAACGACAACGGCGAGCAGCAGCAGCAGCAGCAGCAGCAGCAGCAGCAGCAGCAGCAGCAGCAGCAGCAGCACAGCACGCAAGAAACTTCGAAAGCGGAAATTAGTCCTTCCTTCCCTCGAGCACCGCAACCATGGCACATGCCATGAACGCCGTCTCTTGCCCAGGCACTGCTGTTTCACCTCCTCCACCAAACATACAGCGTTGTCTCCACCGACCCTGCCCACCTCATCAGCAGACCCCCGAACCAAGACGACACAAACAAGCACAGCACCTCCTTTCTGGCAACGAACACACCAAAATGGCCCAACACGCATCATCACAGAGCCAACACAACAACTACGCTTACCCTCTCTCGCCCACCGCCGCCGCGGAGGGGCGCGCTCTCTCCATCACCGCTACTCCCGCCACGGTCCAACCACCACTTGATTTTGCCCGAAATCACCCCGCCGAGACCATCACCACTGCCGCCACCGTTCTCCCCCGTGCCGTAAGACTCGGCCCTGCCACCGCCGCCGCCGCCGCCAAATCCGACGGCGCTACCGCCGCAGTTGACGCTTTGCGTCGGCGAGAGCAAGCGACCGGGCCCGGCCAAAGCTCTCTCGGGCACCATCTCCGGAGCGCGCCGGCTGCTGCTGTCTCGGTCCCGGTCCGCGTTGAAACCGCCTTCCGCGTCGGTCGGGGAGGACGACCGTCTGCTCGGTCTTCGTCGGTCCCTGCACAAGGGCGGCACGCGTTTTCGTTGTTGTTCGTTGTGGCGGGGGTGGGGGTAGTGGTGTCTGTTGGCGTTGTTCATGTCACCGTCGTTGTATTCTACTGTTCTTGCCACGCCGTTGTTGTTTTTTTGTTTTTGTTTTACTCCCATCATTGGACTCTGTCGTCTGCCCCTCTGGCCCCTATCCTCCACTTCTACTAGCTAGACGACCCAACCGGGGTCACATAGGAGGGGGGGGTTGGACCCCCTCCTGCGGTTCATGCCTGAGGTATTTTTATCGCGAGAAGGGTACAGCAATCCCTTCCCTCGCGACTTACGAAGTCGATTATGGTTTACTAACAAACGAGCTTCTTTGCAGCGCGTCGTTGTGTTCACTGCTGTTGTTACATGCCATCGTCGCTGTATTTACTGATGTTGTGGTCGTCGCTTTATTTACTGATGTTGTGGATTCTAGGACCATTGCTGGCTTAGATACACTGAACCGGTGTTTGTATGGCCTTTCCTTTTGCCAGAGAAATACCACCCCCCCTCCGCCCGCCCCCCCCCCCGGTGTTTGCCATCGGGGTTGGGTTTTCGTCGCTTGGCAACGACGTTGCAAAACAAGCCGCCCCCCCCGGTGTTTGCCATCGGGGTTGGGTTTTCGTCGCTTGGCAACGACGTTGCAAAACAAGCCGCCCCCCCCGGTGTTTGCCATCGGGGTTGGGTTTTCGTCGCTTGGCAACGACGTTGCAAAACAAGCCGCCCCCCCCGGTGTTTGCCATCGGGGTTGGGTTTTCGTCGCTTGGCAACGACGTTGCAAAACAAGCCGCCCCCCCCGGTGTTTGCCATCGGGAGAGGGTTT